TAATAATTAATAAATCATACCAGGGAAAAGACGAGACCAAGAAACATTATTTCATAATAGACTCAAAATGACATTGTCATAGAAAGTATCTGTCTTTGAAGAAAAGAAGAAGTGGAAGAAGTGTTTTATCTGAATAATACTTTCTTGATTCATTGAGAGACCCAATGGGTCCTTTTTATATTGAGTACATCCAACTACCTCAACTACTTTAATAAATATGCAACCTCCAACTACATAAATAAATACTATCTAGAATATTCTACATATTCTACACTCCCCCTCAAGTTGGGAGATATATATTGATCATTCCCAACTTGCTGATCAAATTCTCAAAGGTCGACTTAAGTAATCCTTTGGTGAGGATATCTGTCGTCTGTTCCTTGGTAGGTATATATGTCAAGCATACACTACCATCTTCTAACTTCTCTTTGATAAAGTGACAATCAACTTCCACATGTTTTGTTCTGTCATGATGAACAGGATTTTGAGCAATGCTGACAGCAGCCTTATTATAACAATATAATCTGATAGGTAGGGAATAGGAGATCTTCAACTCCTCCAGAAGCCTTCGTAACCAAATTCCTTCACAAATACCATGGGCTAGAGCCCGAAATTCTACTTCTGCACTGCTTCTTGCAACAACAGTTTGTTTCTTACTTCTCCAGGTCACAAGGTTTCCCCAGACATAAGTACAATATCCTGAAGTAGATCTTAGGTCCATTCAGAGCCAGCCCAGTCTGCATCTGTATAGATTTCAATCATCCTTTTGTGCCCCTTTTTGAAGAAAATTCCTCAACCAGGGGTATTTTTGAGGTATTTGAGAATTCTATAAACAGCACTAAGGTGTTTTTCCTTAGGAGAATGCATGAATTGGCTAACCATGCTCACAGCAAAAGAAATATCAGGACGAGTGTGAGACAAATAGATTAATTTCCCCACTAGTCTCTGGTACTGCTCCCTATCAATATCTTCCCCGTCCTCAACACCCATCTTGATATTAGCTTCAATTGGAGTCTCTGCCGGCTTGCACCCAAGCATACCTGTTTCTTGCAACAGGTCTAGAATGTATTTTTTCTGAGTTAAAGAAATTCCTTCCTTACTCCGAGCAATTTCCATGCCAAGGAAATATTTGAGAGATCCAAGATCTTTTAGTTCAAACTGGTCAGCTAAACATTTTTTTAAAGAGGTTATCTCCTCGCTATCATTACCAGTGATAATTATGTCATCAACATAAACGATCAGAATAGCAATTCTTCCTTTGTCGGAGTGTTTAGAAAATAAGGTGTGATCAGTCTGAGCTTGGGTGAACCCTCTTCCCTTAACAGCTTGAGTAAATTTCCCAAACCATTCTCTGGGAGATTGTTTAAGTCCATAGAGAGACTTCTGCAACTTGCACACAGAACCATCCCCTTTTTCAAAACCAGGAGGTGGATCCATGTAAACTTCCTCATGTAGATCACCATTCAAGAAGGCATTCTTAACATCTAACTGTTGCAATGGCCAATCAAGGTTGGAGGCAAGAGATAGCAGAACGCGGATAGTGTTAAGTTTGGCAACAGGAGCAAATGTCTCCTGATAATCTATTCCATGAGTCTGAGTAAATCCCTTAGCAACTAATCTGGCCTTATACCTATTGATGCTATTGTCTGCATTGAATTTTATTGTGAACACCCACTTGCAACCAACAGTTTTCTTTCCTTTAGGTAATGTCACAAACTCCCATGTTCCATTTTTTGTAAGTGCATCCATTTCTTCTAATACAGCATTCCTCCATTTTGGGTCATCAAGTGCTTCTTGGATATTTTTAGGTATCCTGGTACTATCTAACATAGTGTTGAAAGCACGAAAACCTGGAGACAACTTTTCATATGAGATATAATGGGAAATAGGATGAGCAGTGCAAGATCTAGTACCTTTCCGAAGAGCAATAGGCATATCAATGTTGGTTGTACTAGTACATTCAAGTGGGTTGCTGGAACAAGGACTCGAATCAGGATCCTGGCAGTCTAGAGTATCTTCATGTGTTTTGCGCCTACTGTAAAATTTTCCCCATTTACCAGGAGGATCACAAGGAGGATCATTAGATTCAGGTATAGTTGCTCCCCCTATTTCCTTCCCAATAACTCCCCCTGTTTCCAAAGGCCGAGGTAAGACAGCAGCATCATTTGGTTTCCCAGACTTATCTTCATCCATACCAATACCAATAGACTCCCCCTGAAGAGAAGTCGGGGAAAAAAAGGATTGTGTCTCATAAAAGGTAACATTCATGGAAACAAAAAACTTACGGAGAGAAGGTGAGTAACACTTATAACCTTTTTTGGGGAATATCCTATGAAGACACATCTAACAGATTTAGGGTCAAGTTTGGACCTGTGATGTCGAGGAATATGCCCAAAAACCACACAGCCAAATATTCTGGGAGGAAGAGAAGAAACAGCACTAAAAGAGGGAAAAAATTTAGTAAGACAAGATAAAGGAGAATGAAAATTTAGTACCCGAGAAGGCATCCGGTTAATGAGATAAGAGGCTGTCAAGACGGCTTCCCCCCACAGATATTTAGGGACATACATCGTGAATAAAAGAGCTCGAGCAACTTCAATTAGATGTCTATTTTTTCTTTCAGCCACCCCATTTTGTTGAGGGGTGTTAGGACAAGAACTTTGATGAATAATTCCATGCTGGTTTAGGTAATCTCCAAGAACAGAATTAAAATATTCAGTACCATTGTCTGTTCGCAGAATTTTGATAGAGGTCTGGAATTGAGTTTGAATCATAACATGAAAATTTTTAAAGGTGGATGCCGCATCAGACTTATCTTTCAAGAGGTATACCCAACATACCCTATAATGATCATCAATGAAAGTAATAAACCAACGAGCACCCGAGACATTTTTTTCACGAGCAGGTCCCCAAATATCACTATGAATCAATGTAAAGGGAGAAGATTCATGATATTTTTTAGGAGAATAAGTGGCACGAGAATGCTTTGCAAGCTGACAAATATCACAAAGAAGGGAACTTGGCTTTTTATTGATGAACAAGTTCGGGAATAACTTCTGAAGATAGACAAAATTTGGGTGTCCTAACCTACGATGCCATAACAAAACATCATTACAATCATCTGATAAACATAAAGAGTGGTTTGAAAAAATCCTCCTTTCACAAGGATCCTCTTTAAAATAGTAGAGCCCTTCTTCCTCTCTAGCACTGCCAATCATCGTCCCCGAGTCCTGTTCCTGAAAGGTACAAGCATTTGCAGAGAACTTAGCAACACAATGCAACTCAGCAGTAAGTTTGCTAATTGAGATGAGGTTACAGGTAAGAGAGGGAACATGAAGGACTGAATTCAAAATAATATGCTCAGAAAGTTTAATGGATCCCTTCCCCGCAATAGTGGAGAAATTCCCATCAGCTGTTCTTATTCGTGACGGGTGATAGTAAGGGATATAGGAGAAAAATAAGGTTGCATTACCTGTCATGTGATCAGAGGCCCCTGAATCAAGGATCCAACGATTACTACGTTCAACATGGAATGCCGTACCTTTTTGAGCAACATGACTAGTTGCCTTGACAGGTTGAGATATCAGTTTCTGAAATTGCTCATACTGGGCCTTGGAGAGGAAAACACCATCAAGGTTTGAAGGGACATGAGACACCTCCCCTTTATCTTCGGAAGATACTTGATTAGCACGATTCTTGTTCTGTCCTTTTGGTTTCCAGTTTGGTGGTTTTCCATGAATTTCCCAACATTTTTCACGGGTGTGACCACCCTTATTGCAATGAGAACACCAACGGTCAGAACGTTTTGAGTCCCCAGAAAGACGAACAGTATTCTTTGCTATAAGGGCAGACCCATCAGAGGACTTAGAGTCCTTATCACCCAACATTACCTTTCGGCGAAGCTCCTCCCTTCGTACTTCAGAAAAAGCAGTAGCAAGGGAAGGTAATGGGTTTTGTCCCAAAATTCTTCCACGAACATCATCCAGATCAGAATTAAGGCCAGCAAGAAAATCATAGAGACGCCTTTTCTCTATATAATTTTTGAACCTTGCATTAGCTTCTAAACCTTGAAGGTCTGCTTTATCATAAAGATCTAACTCTTGCCATAGTATTTTTAGAGCAAGGAAGTATTCAGTAACAGTCATCCCTCCTTGGCGTAATTCTTTCACCTTGGTGTTGAGATCAAAAGCCTGAGATGCATTGCCCAGGTCAGAGTAATATTCTTTAACAGCTTCCCAAATCTCGTGAGCTGTATCAAGAAATAAATAAGTTTGACTAATATCTGGTTCCATAGAATTAGTCAGCCATGTCATGACTAAAGCATTTTCAGTCACCCAAGCATCATAACCAGGTTCACGTTCTGCTGGTTTTACCTTTTTTCCGTCGAGATACCCCATCTTCCCTTTAGCCTGGATAAACAACTTAACAGATTGACACCATTGCACATAGTTCCTACCGTTTAAACGGTGACTGGTGATCTGCATTGTTGGGTTGTCTCCAGAAGACGAAGAGTTGGGAAGGGGTGAGGTTCCAGACGAAATTTCAGAATTTCCAGCATCCATGGCTTTCTAACAGGTACCCAGAAAAAAGTTCCTCCAAATACGATTTTGACCCTCAAAACAAGAAGAGGGTTGGCCACAGTGAAACAGTAATTGCTACAGTGATGAACGTACGGCCACGGGTCTTCTGTGGGCTGGCTCGGAATTTTGTTCTGAACCGAATGGTGGCCTTGGTTTCGTGGTTGGAGGTGTCTAGGTAAGGATTCTGGCTTGGGTAGTGGCTAAAACGAAAAAAAAGGAATAGGAAAATGACTTAAAAATAAATCAGAACGGGGAAGAGACTGGAATATAACCAGCTCTTGATACCATGAAGAAAAGAAGAAGTGGAAGAAGTGTTTTATCTGAATAATGCTTTCTTGATTCATTGAGAGACCCAATGGGTCCTTTTTATATTGAGTACATCCAACTACCTCAACTACTTTAATAAATATGCAACCTCCAACTACATCAATAAATACTATCTAGAATATTCTACATATTCTACAGTCTTCAAAGAGCAAACTTGTGCAAAAGTATTCATGTGGGTAAAAAAAAACAGACAAATTCATAAGGACAGAAGCCAGTCCCCCCAGGAAGAAACATTGCATAAGCCATGCGGTTATTCAAGCCCAAAATCAAGGTATTTCTTATATGGATGAAATGGATGTAAAAATATTGAATCAACCTGTTTATGACCAGAGTTCTATGATAGTAGACATCATTGAGCATTCTGGAGAAAAAGAAGCTGTCAACAGCAATTATTCCATCAGAACTACGAGTAGTTTAATTAGCTTAATGGATGAATCAAACTGCAGACCATCAAATAAATACTAAGGAATATCATAATCCTATGAGGAGTGGAATAATTAGCACTATGACTGAGGAAGTGGGAGAAAAATCATGTTTCGAGGATGTTAGAAAAGAGTCAAATGACATAGTTTCATCCCAATGTTAAGAAAGAGTTTGAACCCATCCTACTGTTCAAAAATGAAAATTGCAACATAGATACATAAACAATTTACCAGAAAAGAAATGTACTAGTTAAACAAAACAATTCTAAACACACTGGAAGGTTATCATGTGATTTTAATAATAACCAAGATAATTAATCTGAGAGATTAAATATGTAAAGTATTGGCTGATTTTGTTCTACCATCAAATTGATTGCAATCTTAAAATGCTGTTTCTTGGAAAATTCAGATTCAGCACAAGAAAAAAATATATTTGAAGGCAGTATTTCAATGTTTACTACAAAATCACAGATAAAGTCATATGCTTAAGCAGTTTGTTTACTGCATTATGCTTATCATGAAAATAAAGAAAGCTAGCAGTACTGAAACTGCTACGAGAAAGGACAGTGCTATGCAGCACTACTGAGGCTGTTGGAATAACAATCAAATATTGAAGATAATTCTCATTAAACGACAATACTGATGGAGGCTCCAAGGAAAGACTTAGAAGAATTACAAGTTATCAATGGTAATGGAAAACTGCTGACCAGTACATGACCACATTTTGTAGGAGATACTGTTATATAATCAGGTGCTGGCTGTTCATCCACATCTAAAAAGATGACAATTGTTTTCCACTACTTGCTAGATCGGTGCATGCAAACTAGAAGAGCAGAACATACATCAAGAAGTGGAGAGACATTAAGAAGTTTGAGAAAATAGGCTAGTAACCATCGAGGACAAGGGTTAAGATTACAAGGAATGAAGAATCCATAATCCAAGATTGAGCCGAAGTAGAAGTTATACTCCGATTGTTTATAAATAAGAGGTTAACATTGCTAAAGGTCCTGAAAACTCCACACTCCTAACCCGCAGTAGGAAAATGAGTCACCAGAGACCCTTTTTCTAGTTTTAGTTCATAGATTTAGGCATTTAGCCATTAGTTCATAGTTCTGAACAAAGATTATTCCTGGATTGCTTGGCTAGCGTAAATTCAAGTTCACATTTCTTTTCTCATCTCTTATTACATCTGCTTTATGTTTTTTCTGTCATTTGATGACATGATCCTATATTCATATTATTTGAGAAATTTATCAAATGTTACGATGGTTCCCCCCACCATTCTAAAGACAACAAAATCTAGGAATTTATTGGCCACATTTCAATACTGTTTGACCAAGTGTCCTTCAAGAATTTAACATGAAAACACCACTTACAGCTAGACAGCAGAATACCACAATAATCTTAAGAGGAGCATAAATGAAGCATAACAACCCAAAAGAAAGCTTGATAAAATCAACGTTACTCAAGGCTCTTTAGAAGCATCCCGCATCCCATCCCATGAATATACTTTGAAACCAACCCCTTACTCAGGAGTATTTGAAGTTAACTGCTTTGACCCTTTCAAAACACAAGCCTCATCAAGTGGTTTCTTAAAGAAAAAAGATGAAAATGACGTGAACAGACCTATTTTTCAACCAGAGTCTACAGGCCAAGTTGCAAATGCAATTACCCAATATCAAAGTGTTGTACGTCAGGTCCATCCTCAGGAACAAAGCAATCACATGTACCAAAGCTTTTTCAACATTCATGAAGATTACGTTATTTTTAATTAATACATTCATGAAACATGCAGTATATACTCCATATTATGCTGTTACTGGTCCCCAAAAAAGAATGATTAAGCTTTCATAATTTTTAACTAATAATAAGATTACGTTATTTTTTTTTAGAAATAATTATTCACACAATTTTAAATTGGAGATAATAAATTACTTAGTTTTAGTTGGGGTAACATTCCACGAAGATTGTTTACGCAACATAATATTCAAAAAAAAAATGCAATCACAAATCAGAAAACTATTCTGGAAAACCCCACGAAAGCTAAGCACTAAGAAACTAGTAAACTACCATGCAGCTGCACAAAACGTATTGTATCTGTGGGGCTTTTAGCACACTGATGGTATATGAACAAAACAACCTAATTCTAAGAAACAGAGATGATATTTTTACCAAAAAGTAGAGAATGAGAGGACATTACCGAATTGCTTGTAATTGTATTCTATGTCGATTGTTCAAGGAGCTTTTCTACAAGGAAAAGACAAAAGCTGAAGAAGAAAAACAAAAGGGAAGGTGAAATACAAACTGAAAGAATGATAATAGAAAAGTAACAAGCTTTGTTTATAGTTGATCCGTAACCTTTGCGCGATTGAATCTACCATAACACAAGGACACTAGGGTTTTGTGTTATGGTTTTGACTTTTTGATCGATCTCAAGAATAGAATCGAAATGGCGAAACTCGTTTGGTCGCGGATTCTTAAACAAGGAAGAATCAAAGTTAATAGTATGAGTGAAATGCTTGGTGTTGGCTGCTGCAAAGAGGAACATGGGTGTTGGCTGCTGCAAAGAGCAACATGGATGTTCCTGAGAAAATTGTGTATTATGGGAGAAAATGAGATTTAAAAGGAGAGAGAAGATGTAGAATGAGTTGAATATTTTTGACAAGGCTATGGAAGGGTTTAAGCACTACAGCCACGATTAATTCTAGAGATTAAGGCCTGTTTGATAAGTGTTCTGTAAAACAGTTTTTTGTTTTTAAAAACAAAAAAACAAAAAAACTTGCTTGATACCAACTGTTTTGTAAAAAAAAATTGAAAACAGTTTTCCAATTTTAGTTTTTAAAACAAAAATTAGAGAACACCTTTGAGGTGTTTTGATTTTAGTTTTTTAGTTTTTGTTCTGAAAATATCAAAAACACGGAGAAGAGGTGTTTTCATTAATGGCAAAAGTGTAATTAATCGAACACTATCCTTACCCATGGTGTCTGGCTCTGCAAGTGTGAGCACATCTTTCGTTTTCTTCCTGCTCCTTCAATGGTGTTAGGGTTTTCAATGGTGTGAGCACATTTTGCTTCTTTCTAATTTCCCATTTGTCTAATCATCTAAAATACAAATGAAAAGCCTTTCATTCCCTTACATGCAACACTCGTTAACTTCATTGAGCACCCCAATCATACCAACATGTCCCACCTCTTCCTTATCCATCAATTGTTCTTTACGCTGCAGGTTCACAATCTTCATTTTATTTTATTTCTATGTGTGTGAGGAATTTGAATTGTGTGTTGTACTTACTTGTACTTGAATCTCATATTGGAAAATGTTTTATCTTTTCTGGGTTCACACTCTTCGTTTTACTTGGGACACGTTGTAGTTTTTTTTTTTAGCTGCTGTTGTGTGGAACTGAAGAATTTTTGGGGATGATTTCACTGGTTTCTTTTGGTGAAAGCATCTTTTTCAGGTTGAGTGCTTTGTCCTATTCTCTCTACATAACTGTGGTGTTTGTTGAATATAAAATTGGGGCTGCGGGCACCCAAACGGAAGAAGAGAGTTTTTTTAATATGCCCATTGCTCTCTTCTGTGCAATCATTGCTCTTTGACTGTTGACATCTTTTGTGTATTGGTGAATTGGTATTTAATTAAAGTATTTGTTTGCCCTTGTTTTGTTGAACTTGTTGATAAACATCATGGCAACCATGTTGGTGGCAAGCATTTTTTTTGGAAACTCTTTGTTGAATTGGTTATTTGTATGCTGTGAAAGAATGAGCAATACATGATTCTAGTAGGTTATGCAGGGTAAGTGATTAGGTTACTCAAAGGAAGAAGCATAGCGTAAAATTTCCACTGTTTATTTGTTTTAAACTAAATAAATTAATATAATTAATCTAAAGGTTTTACTTTCACAAGTTTATCTGAAAAAACAGAATGCAAGCTTGAGGTCTGTATTGCTGTGTTCCATTCTAATTGGACAAGAAACACTGCAGTCCTAATGTCTAAGGCAAAGTGCTTCTATGAAAATTTTGAATCTAACTCTTTTTATAATTAAATGTCTTATGGAAGTACTAAAAATTCGTTGATGAAGTTGCTATGGTCTTTTTATAATCTAACTCTTTCCTGCATTTTTTATTTCTTGCATTCAAACTGAGGTGAAAGAAATTTGAAAGGTGTTTGTTTTATTGTGATCTCTGCAACAAGCAATACAAATTGGCAATGGAATTTGAAGCACACTTGAGCTCTTATATCACAATCACAGAAAGGTATACAATTTAATTTATATTAACTTGGTTCTGCATTTGTCGTCTTAATTCCAAATTGGCTCAATATTGTTTTTCTCCTCAATCCTAACGTTAAATCCTTGATGTTTAATATAGTGTTTCAAACAAATGAAGGAAATGCATGGTAGTAGTAGCACGGTTGGTGTCAAGAAGCAGAATGTTGCAAAGAAGCAAAATGTTTCAGTGTTGTGTCCTTTGTATTTAGTAACGATAGTGATGAAGAATAATGGAACGTTACTCTTGCAGCTCTGAATCAACACGATGCCATATTTTCGGCGTGTTTTTTGTTTATTAGATGTTTTATTTGGTAATTTATTACCATCGTCAGTTTCATTTGGGATTCAATGTTCATTTGGAGATTTGAGTATAAACAATGTTAGAAAAAAATTTGACCTGCTTATCGATGTGACTGTTATGCATATGCAAGGATTATGTTTATGTGAGTGACATGATGATGCTTGCTTCCATTACTATGATGCTCATATAACTGAATTAGTGGTCAGTTTAATGGACTGAAACCATTATTGATGATTTTCTCTTTTTAATGTTAAAAGAAGTCTGACATGAAAAACAATTTTAAATAGTGATTAAAATATTTATTTTGTTTTTATTAGTTTGCAATGTGATTTGTTTTAATTTTAAAAAATTATTATAATGTGATTTCTTATGGTGTTCAAAATATATTTTATTAAAATGTATTTAAAATTGTTATCAAAAAAAAAATGTATTTAAAATTTTATATATGGTTAAAAAAATTATAAACTGAAGTTGATTAAAAACATAGTAATCCAACGAGTTTTTGTTTTTTAACTTTGAAAACATATTTTCAAAACAAAATTACCAAGTAATTTTTTCTGTTTTTAAGTTTTAAAACTCTTTTAAAAACAATTTTATCAAACAGATTTTTTTCTTATTTTATTCTGAAAAACAGTTTTCATAAACTATTTTACAAAACTGTTTTAAAAACAAAAAAATCAAAACACTATTAATCATACCCTAATGTTTCTTAAACACATTTTATTTCCAACAAACATATTAAAGTGGGTTTTTTTTACCATCTTTTTATAATTAATTATTAAATTGATCTTGATCATAAATTATTTTAAAAATTTAATCTCTTCGTACAACATAATATTAATCTGCTCCTTGTTACCGTTGGCTATCAAGCTTATCAGAGTATCCCTTCTTTATCTGAGTATTTTTTGAAATTTTATCCTACCGGATAGAGAGATACCCGAGTATATTTCATAAACCTTAAAAAATAATTGAATTATTTAGGGAAGGCCGCTACGCGGGTAAATATGCATTATGTCACGTGGATTTAATTTCCTTGTCAAATGAACTAAAACAGAAACACGACTTAAAAAAGTAGAATTATTTAGGGAAGGCCGCTACCCGAGTATATTTCATACCTTGCTAGTCTTGACCTAAGACTCGACTTTCAGCTTGCATTTGGTGACTTGAGTGTCTATTTCATCGACCATATCCTCTGCTTCAAACACAGCATCTTTGACCTTATCAAGCCAAGTCTTCACATGTCGGTTTCTGATATGCTTTTGTTCTGCATCATCAAGCACATCATTGATGTAAAGCAGCTTGCTGTTGAACCTGTTCAACAGCGTCTCATTGAGTTTTCTTCCTCGAAAGTAGGCCGCAACTTTAGGAGAAGCGAGCCTGTCAAATGCGACCTGAAGGAAAGCAGAAAGAAGGGCACCACCAACAAATGCTCCAGCATGGTAGGAAAAGGGAGTGATGGAATCAAGAAGTAGAAAGGAAGAAAAGATTGCAAATTAGAAGTGCAGTGTATGCAAATGATTCAATGAAGGAGACTATTTTTTGTGAACAGGGACCATATTTTTTACGTGGTCTCTTAGTGTAAATAAGAAGGTAAAATTGAAACAGAAGGAAAATAATAGAGATAAAAAAGAAAAAATAATTAATGATGTGGGAGGAAGCACCAAAAGATTCAGTACTCCTAGATCATATTAAATATTTCCCCAATGAAGATATGTGTGTGTGTAGAGACTTCTTCGTCTTTATTTGATTAGATGTTATCTCCTCAATAATGGCTTTACTTTCCCACAAAGAGAAACGTGTAAAGTCAAGAAAGAGTCGTTGTGGTCTGCTCAGAAACGTGCAGAGGCATGTGGCACCTCGGACAGGCGCCTCCTTACCCGAATAAATAATTCAAGTATTTTTTCAGATTTATAAAATATACCCGGGTATCTTTCTCTCTACTTGAGTAGATAAAATTTTCAAAAAATGCCTGGGTAGGGAGGAGATACCCGGGTAAGCTTGATGGTCAACGGTCAAACAGGAGCAGATTGGTGTTATGTTTTCTGAAGAGATTAAATTTTTGAAATAGTTTATAATCAATGTCAATTTGATAATTAATTATTGAATAAGGGCTATAATGGTCAAAAGCCTATTAAAGTGTGTGTGATTAAACGAAGAGAGAAAAAAAATATGAATTTCATAAACTTATATATGTAGAAGATAAAATTATCTCTTATAACATGAGAAATAATAATTTTTTTAATTCTAATATATATATATATATATATATATATATATATATATATATATATATATATATAGAGTAAAGACTCTTTTTGATCCCTAACAAAAAACACGGTCTCCACTTTAGTCCCTTATAAAAATAAATTAGTCAGTTAGTTCCTAACAAATTCAAGGTGGACCCATTTTAGTCCTTTTGAGGGACTAATATGGGTCTTTTTTGAATTTGTAAAGGACCACGATTTCAACTAAATGGGTTCACTTTGAATTTGTTAGGGACTAACTGACTAATTTATTTTTGTAAGGGACTAAAGTGGGGACCGTGTTTTTGTTAGGGACTAAAAACGGTATTTACTCATATATATATGTATAGGAAAAAATATTTCTCTGGCAACTTGAGATAAGTTTATCTCCGGCTATCCCAAAACTACGTTGTTTTTGTTATGGACCAGGATTAGGCCCATGATCAGCAAGGCCCACGATCAGCGTAGGCCCACAGGTAAGCATTATAAATAGGAGCTGGACGCTACAGGTATGACCTAATCTCTTTTTATTGATACACACAATCAAGACAGTACACACACACACACCTCTTCCAAGGCTAAGGCCATTAGATAATGTGTGATCTGTTGTCCTCAAGATACCTAACTCATAGATATCCAGAGAAGACGCCTGGATCATAGATCAATCATCCAATCCCAATTGGATACATCCGCCAAGGGCAGAACATTGGCGCCGTCTGTGGGGAAATTTTTCACGGCAAACGTGGTGAAAGTCAGCAAAATCGATGGTGAGAGCTACG